GCTCCCGGCTCGCCCCGCAGCCCGCGCGCCCTCCCGGTTGCAGCATGCGGGCGCTGTGACGTTCTCGGATAAATGCCGTGTAACTGTGTAGGCGAATGAGAGCTAAAAATAAGAACGGAAAATCTATCATTAAGGTATCATTGCGCCAGCGCAGCTATTTGAAGGCTCCCATGGTCCCCGGCGCCTGCGTTTGAAGCCCGCCTTCAGGCTTTGGGGGGTATTTGCAGAAAACTCCCAGCAGCGGCTCGCCAACCAGACCTCAGGGTGCAGGGCGGGTGGCGCCAGTAATTATGGCAACTCTCAAAATAAAATAATACAAAATAAAGTAACCAACGTTCACCAACCACCACCCCATCTCACCCCCAGTACTGTCCTCAGGTAGCTGGGGAAGCCGCCGGGAGTGCGGCCGGATGCTGGAATTCAGTGTGACCCGGCTGACTATGCAAAGACTAGGACTGGACGCTTTTGCAGCTCTATTTCACCACCCACCTTCTTCCTTCCACCTTGTATTAGAAATAAAGCAGGGGATGGGGGAGCCTTTGGAGGAGAAAATGACAACTGGCATTTAACCCCAGGTCTACAGTGAGCCGCGGTGGGGCGCAAAGACGCAAACTCCCTGGTTGGCTAGCCTCCGGGGTCCCATTGGGTTAAACGAAAATTGATCTGATTTGCTTTTTAACATCCGAAGGAGAGAAGGGGAGATGAGGGGAGGGAGGACAGGGTTTGTGTGTGTGCGTGTGCGCGTGTGTGTCTGGGGAGGGGGAGGACGCGCCAAGGTGCTGCCTGCGCGCGGCTCTGCGCCTTGGCGGGGCTGCGTGCGTGTGTCTCTGTCCGCGCTGCTGAAACGGGCTCTTCGAGGGATCGGCGTCACATGACTCCGCCTGCCCCTCGCCAGCGCGCAGATCGCCAGTCCCTCAGTTTGCCCGGCGCCGGAGGAGGGTCGGGCGGGATCTTCCGGGCACTGGGGCTGTGCGGAGCGGAGAAGAGGTTCCAGCGGAGAATAGTATATCTGGTTCAAGAAGCCGCGGCTCGGCGCCAGATCCTGGAGTGTAGATATTTGGGGGGAGGGGAGAGCGAGGGAGCGAGCGAGCGAGCGCCAGAGAGAGGCAGCGCGCAGCGCGCACGGACGGGGAGCTGCTGCGCGGAGAAGATGTAAGCGCGTGGGGTCTCGCTGGCCTCTGAGCACCATGCAGAAGGGGATCCGGCTGAACGATGGCCACGTCGCGTCTCTGGGACTGCTGGCGCGCAAAGACGGCACGCGCAAAGGCTACCTGAGTAAGCGGAGTTCAGACAACACAAAATGGCAAACCAAGTGGTTCGCGCTGCTACAGAACCTGCTCTTCTACTTCGAGAGCGACTCGAGCTCGCGGCCCTCGGGGCTTTACCTGCTGGAGGGCTGCGTCTGCGACCGCGCGCCCTCCCCCAAGCCGGCGCTGTCGGCCAAGGAGCCTCTGGAGAAACAGGTGAGGCGAGCGTCGC